AAAATGCTTTCACCTAAGCCCTAAGTAAGGGTTTTAAGCTAATGCTCTTGCCCTTGTCATGGCATGGGGCTCAGGGTGTGGATGTGAGGAGGCACCGTCACTCAGCTGACGTACGCTAATTCAGTAAGTTGTGGTGAGTTGATTGTGTCCAGAGCCCTGGATCATGGGGTAGGCAGTTACCTCTTTATCTCTTCCTGGCTAGTTTCCTCTGCCTCTAGATATTATGTAAGTAATTACATTTGTCTTAATTACAGTTTGGCCAACACCCTAGTATTAACCTTTGCTATTAAGATGAGCCAAGTAAGACTTTTAATGCCCTGTGATAGGGCTATGGTCCTCTGCTGGTCAGTGGAGCTTCCTCTGTAGGGACAGAATAAGGCTGCTCTTCTTTTCATGATACTAATCCTAGTTTCCTTCCCAAGAGCTTGTATGGGAATCTGACGTGTGTTATGTGCTGAGGTGGGGGGAGCTCTGGCATCTTCAAGTCCGTAGTCATTGTTAAATACACAGCGGGGGGGAAAGAACCTTTTTTCTGTGGGAGTTATTCGCTGCATGTGTGCCTGTAAGAGATAGTTTGAGGCCCTTGGGGAAAAATGACCCAGCTACTGTTTTTGTTTACCAGGTCAAATGGATGATGTACTGGATCATATTCGCCCTCTTCACGACAGCAGAGACATTCACGGACATCTTTCTTTGCTGGTGAGCACCAGATGGGATAGGGTCTTTGGCATGAGATGAAAAGAAAATGGAAATACTTACAAGGGGAAAAAAGGGACACAAAGGTGCACTGCCTCCTGAACATGGGGTTAGCAGCTTCAGACACATAGAGGTGTTTTGTCTGGAGGAGCCATGCTTCCTTTCTCAGTGCTGTCATAGAAAAAGCAAGAAAGAGGGCAGAACTACTCAGTGATGTCTCATTAGTGAGAAGTCATTCCAGGAGTCTCAGTCCCCTGCCTGTCAGAGAGAGGGGCGCAGCCGATTGCTGAGCTGGGTGCTTGCAGAGATCATCACGTAAACAACAGTAGCTTTAGCTACAGGCATAGTTCTAGACTTACCTAGCTGTGTCCTACAGTAAACACACAAGCTCTAGGGATCAGGCAGAAACAGCCTTGCAGCACAGGACTTTGTAGGTTGCTGCGTGGATGGTGGTTTCTGGGATGTTTTGCCAGGCCTGTTCCCCGTTAGGCTGGGTTTACAGTTTGATGGAGGAAGTTACAGCCCGTACTGATGGGGGCTCTCTGGTGCCGGTGGACCTGGTGCCTGGTGACTTCTGTCAGTATGACAGAATATAAATGCCCAATTATCAGATTCAGTTCATTAAATTTGGATGCTCAAGTTTGGAAATGTTTGTTGCTTGGTTGCCCTTTTTAGTAAGGCCTTTCTAGTGGAAACCAGTGAGATCAGTAGACTTGAGGATGAAAATTTAACTGTAGTGCATGGCCCTCACCTGAAGCCGGTTCCTCTGTAGCACTGCATGGCTCTAGTGAGTCCTCCAGACACAGGGAATGGGGGGTACTTGGCAACATGTCAGATCTGTTGAAAAGGAGATAAAAGACATTATTTTGTCTCTGTCTAATTTGCATGCAGATCTATCTCCACTGTGTTCATCTGGAGCATTGATTTTTTTGGAGGATGTATTATGAGGGTCTGTCGAGAGGAATGACAGAGGGCTTGTTCCAGCCTGTGAAACCAAGTATGCTGTAGAGATCCTCAGTGAGGTGCAAGACCAACCTGGCAAGTTCATGCTCCAAGTAGAGCATTGCAGAGGTCCATTGGGTCAGACCTGGATGCTGTAGGGTCTCAGTGATTAGTGCTGTGCTAGCACAGGAGTCTATCTGGGTCCAGCTGGGCTGGTGCACAACCGTCAGTCACAGGGTCTCTGTGCTGCTCTGACTTGCCCCTGCCTACAAAGGGTAGCATTGGTTTGTCACACTGCTGGCAGCAACAAGCTGGCCCGCATTAGGATGCGGCCAGGTGGCCAGCCTTGAGCTCTAGGCTCTGTCCTCCAGAAAAGAGTCTGGATAATCTAATCTTAAAAAGTCCCTGGCTTGTTGTTACAGCTAAAGCATGTCCTGTTGTTAGTTAGTGTCCTGCATATTTTGCCGTGCTACCTGAAAGCCACAGTGTGGATCTGCACCTTTATGTTGCTTGGACAACAAAGGTTCTTGTATTTCAGTTTCAGTCAGATAAGTGTTATCTTAAAAGCAGAAAGGCAGAGAGATGAAAGATGCATAAATATATCAATGGAATACCGATGAAGGCAGCATCTGTGCTCTTTGCCTGTAGAAATCTCTTAACACACAGCAGCAGAGTCTTCCAGACCATTAAATAATGGTCCTGATACCCAAGTAAAGATTTACCCAAATGCCTAGTTGAGATGTGTGCAAAGGTGAGTGAATGTGTTTTGGTCTTTGGATTCTTTGATAAGCAAAAGCTGCCCTAAGCTAGACTGGCTAGTCCCTTCCTATGCTGAGCACCTCTAATTAAGGGCAATGGTTAAATTGGGAGTGGACATTAACAGCTCTTTTTCTTCTAGGTTTCCATTCTACTACGAACTCAAAATAGCTTTTGTAGCTTGGCTGCTGTCTCCATACACAAAAGGCTCCAGCCTCCTGTACAGGAAATTTGTTCATCCAACGCTGTCTTCAAAAGAAAAGGTAATCACAGGTGCCCAGGTCCCCTCTGGATGGTGCAGGTCTACAATGTGTTTACTCCAGTCTTCGTATTGCTCATTTTCATTGAAGGACTGGGAGTTGCTGATTCTCTTCCTCTATCGTTTCATCATCTCCTTTTGGTTGGTGTTTTTGTTCTTTGTGGTTGTGGTGTTTTTGAATACTGGCATCTGTTCAAGCGCACTCATGCATATTAACTCATCTTTGTGCACTGGAGAAGTTGGGAGAGAGGGGGATAAAAATACCTCCTGAGCTGCTTTGCACTTACTGGCTGAATATAACTGGAGTGCTATGTTGTGGCTGGATAGAACAATTAGAGAAACAGGGTCTGGCAGCCAGGGCCCCTGAACTTTGTTCCCAGCTCTGCCTAAAACATGGTGCGGCAACGAGACAAATAGGCAAGCCTGTCTGAAAGGGGCTTAGTAAGCACTTGCCTAGTTGAGAGACACATAGCATGCTGAAGTAAGGCGTGTAGCATGTTGAGGTCCTGGGTTGAGAAATGTCTTGCTCAAATTCATGGTGCTAATTTGGGGGGGGAGCATTACAGCTTGGATCATTTGCCTGCCTAGGAGGTTCCTGTGGCTGTGAATGGGACATTGTCAGGCAGATCCATTTGGCTCATGTGAATACATGGGCCAAGAATAGCTATCGGTCGCATATCAACATGCAGACTACTAAAAAGTGAATAACTGTTTTCCACATTGACAACTATGGAAATAAAAGATCTCTGTTTAGCCACAGGCAGTGCATAAACAGTTGTTTCTCAGTTTTGTCCAAGGACAGTGGGGATCAGTCCCCTGTCTCCCTGCTTCCTGGGAACATTTGCTTATGCTTCTCACAAATGCTTGTGCATTTTGGTTTACTTCCTCTTATCTATTAGGAATATAGAGGGAATCACTAAACAGCCAGCAGCTTCTCACAGCCTCCAGTGCCTACTAACCCAGCACATCCAGTAGCTGAGCACTGGAAGTCATTGTCATCCATTATCATTGAGGCCTTTGTGTCTGAAGGGAGGGAGGGTGAGGGCAGAAACTTTCATAACCAATTCACTGTATATTGAGCAACATCGAAATCCAGAAGCTTTGGACCTACCAATTCCATGGGCATGTTGAAGCTCGGCACTGCAGTGGTGTGCAGACATATCTCAGATGCTTCTGAGACCACCAGTCGTAGACCCAGGGCAGTACAGCTGCAGCTGCCCAGTCTCATAATATGATTCTTTTTAACTATGGGGCAATCCAGTTTGGCTTTAGAGTCCGTAGATTGCAAATGACTCCTAGTCCGTTCTGCCCAGGTGCATATATCGGTCTTGCTTCCAGGACCTATTGGTGGTGGTTGCACTGTGCAAGCATATCGCAACTTTGGGTCCTGGTCTTCCATTTGCAGAATAAAGAGTTCCCAAAGCCTGCAATGGGAGTTACTGCTCCCCTGCAAACCTTTCCTCTTTGCAAACATTGGCTGTGAACTTCTCTTCAGCCAAGGTGGAGAAAATGGAGGATATCTACTTCCATAAAAGATGACCCGGCTCTGCCAAGAGTTTGAGGCTGGGAGCACTCTGAACTTGTCCTTGTGCTTTTGTTTTCTTTTGTTGTCTGCTGTGACAGGAGATTGATGACTGCCTCGTCCAGGCAAAAGACCGGAGCTACGATGCCCTTGTGCACTTTGGGAAGCGGGGGCTGAATGTCGCAGCCACAGCAGCCGTCATGGCAGGTTCAAAGGTAAAGGGGCGGGGCATTAGCATCTCACTTCAAAGGTAAAGGTGCGGGTCATTAGCATCTCATCTGCATCCATCGCCAACAGCAGCCACCGCATGGAGGGGGAGAGATGGTGAGGGTAGGGATTCTCTCACTGATTTTGATCATGCCTTCCAATCTCCCATTCACCAGCCCTGCAGGTGCCTCTTGGGATGAAGACAGTAAGTGTGGTGCCTAGTGAGCCTATAGGAGGTTGGGAATGAAAGATTAAGATTCGGGTCTACCTCAGGCGCTGTTGAATTTTGTGTTTTCCATCAGTACCCAGGTGACAGCGTTAGCAATGCTGCTCATCACAGCCTGTACTCTTCATTTTCTGCTGTCAAAATAGGAGCATGCTTCCATGAAAAATGTTGACATTAGGTGAACACAGTTAGCACTGTGGCAGGGAAATATTTTTTTTGGTCAGCACCTTCTGCAGTGAAGTGGAAGGCCATCTGCACTCCAGTTTTTCAGTTGTTATGCTGAATTGTTGAGAAGTCTGGAGGATCCAGTGACCTATAATTTGGGTACTGACAGAAAGCAGATGTGATCTGAAGTTTGTGAAGGCTAAAAGTTCGTCTGCAAGGCTTATACATAACACACCTACTTGATGTATAATTCTCTGGATACATGTTTATGTAAGAGTGAATGGAAAGTGGCATTAGTTGCTTTTGGAGAATGAGTAGATATTGGATGAGTGGTCTCATCTGAGGAGGTGTATCCTGTCCTCTGTTCCTGGCTTACAGCCAGCACCGTAAAATAGCTCTTATCTCTGTTCTTTGCTTGCATAAAAGCTGCAAGGACTTGGTAACTGCATTTTGTGGTCCTGTTCTCTGGCCATGGATTATCATGGCTTAGGGTAGATGTGGACAGTGACTATACGCTTGTATTTTACGGGCAAGGCTTGTATAAAATATATGGCTTTCATGCAGTCAGATATAACGCCTCTTGCAAAAGGATAGTAGAAACATATGGGCAAGGTGGGCACTGGTATTAGGAAAAACATGTGAATGGGAGTTGAAGGAAATAATTTTCCTCTGTCAGATGCTTTTTATATGACCTCAGGCACATCATTTTAGTGTGTCTTGGCCTTATCTTCTGTAAAAAATGCATAATACATCCTTAGGAGGCCAAATACCTTGAATTCTATAAAGCATGGTGAATGCAAGGTATTACAGAAGTGGGGAGCCCCTGGGTTATGCCATTCATGTGCATGATCACAAGGATATGCAAAAGTTATAACCTATGTTCCAAAGAAAAGCCAAACATTGCGTCCTTTTTTCCTGCCAAGCATTGTGCAGACTGTGGCTGTCAGGACTGGCTCAGTTCTCCTGAACTGTTGCTCTTCAGTGGGGAGGCTCTGCTAAGTCAGGGGCTGCTGGCTAATCCAAGCCTGGACTGAAACCTGGGGTAAATGCAGAGCTAAGGCAAAGCTGTGTATTATATGCCCAACGAAACAACGTTTGTGGGATGCTTCCATGACACTTAACGCTTTTTCTGCTGCTGTGTAAGCCTGAAGAAGTCGCACCATGGACATAAGTAGGCTCTGGGAGTGCCTGTTTTGCAGTACTGCCTTTTCTCTGAGCCTCTTCCTACAAGGTGCTGCAGACTTTCTGTGCTAGAGCTGTTTTTAGGACAGAGTGAGAAACTATGAGTGAATCCCAAAGGAATTCTGACTCCTGTTTGGGTAGCTCCTGAATACAAGAAGCTCAACAGTAGCCCAGACCCACAGTGCCAACCTGTTCACCTCAGGGCTGCAACAGTGTCTTCATCAGCTCTTCAACCTGACTAAACAGTCAGCACCACAGTTTTTCTTCCCACTGTTCTGCTTCTCTGGTGTTTTTCTTAAGAATTGCACTGCCTTGAAATGTGGCTCTAGTGGCAGTGGGAAGCTGGGTAGAAGGGAGAAGAGTCTCCAAGGTACAAGGAAGCCATTGTTTTGCATGAGTTAATGAAGCTCCCTGTTCAGTGCTGGAAGAAGGCAACTCTGTGACTTGTGTAGTATTGTTGTATGGCACATCTGCCAGCTTAACTTGGGAGAAAACAGTTAAGATGTTGCAACCTGTAAATGGACCAGAAGAGTCTTTCCTGCACTGTACTTTGGGGAGGTGGAAGATGATCTATTGATAAGATTGAGAGGTTGTTATTGGATGGATGGATGGATTGATAGACTGATTTTTTGAACAAAGTAAGGACTGTTCATGTCTCTGCTTCAACCTTGACATGTAAATTACCCTGAATATGTGAGGGAAAATATGAGTCCCGGCTTCCTTTACCACTTTGGCATGTGGTCTCCAGCAAGTTGCTTGCTTCTGTGTGCCTCAGGGTGCAGATCCAAGAGACAGGGTGAGCTGATCTGACAGCTCTCCTCCTCCAAAATGGAGTGATGCTCCTGCTCCCAGTGAGTTACTGTGCACCAGCTCTTTGGACCTGCTCAGGTTATCTGTCAGAAAGCTAATCCAGAAAGAGAAAGAAAGGGAATACTGTTTTCCGAGTCCACAAATGTGTCTCGAGTGCCTGAGCCAGCACAAGGGAAGGGGCAGAACTGCATTGTGAGGAGTATGGCCAGAGAAAAGGAAAGGAAGATCTTACTTTCCTCATTGTGGGAAGCAGACAAATTAGCTCTGCTGTTCATGGGACCACACCCTTAATACATTTACACTCTTCATGGTGTAATAGTCAGGGATGGTTAAAGCAGCTTCTGTCCCTGCCCTGCTTGGACTGAATTTGCTGTCTTTCAGGTGGGGAGAGTTGAATTGCTGTGTTTTACAGCCTGGTGTGTTGCAGTACAGAACTGGGGTTAACTTGAGCTGGGGTTCCTCAGGTATTCAGGATGGAAGTGTTCAAAAAACGTGTGGATGTGGCGCTTCAGGACATGGTTTAGGGGACATGGTGGCGCTGGATTAATGGTTGGACTTGATGATCTTGAAGGTCCTTTCCAACCTAGTGATTCTGTGATTCTGTGTTTGGGTGTGGACGTGTCTCCATTTAGCTGTTCCTGCCGCTGTGAAGGGAGACGTTTCCAAGGGAGGAGCGGTATAAGCAGGTATGGGTGGTAACAGCTTCTGTTGCCCTGGTTTTCAGCTACTGTTAAATGTATGTCAATGCCCTTACTTGCTCACTTGAAAAGGAGTTATAACAGAGCTAGATTATTCTCTGTGAGACAAGTTTAAATGACTAATTATGTGGAAAGCACTTTGAGCTGACAGATGCCAGACAAGACTGCAGTGCTGTCCTTAAGAGTAAGGTTCCAGGGAGGCAGGAAAGAGAATGCCATTTCTAAGGCTTATCCTGGCTTTCCCAGTGCCAAGGTTTAAGGGTATCCAGCTAGCCTGTGATTAAGTGTTGAGTGTAGATGTGAAACTGAGCCCTGAACAGGTTCATTTGGTTTCAGCTTTTAATGGGTCGTGTTAAAATTGGAACCTATAGAGATGACCATATATTCAGAAGCACTGATATCCTGCAGCTCCCATGGAAAATGTGGCTTTTACCAGCAAGTGAATGTGAGGATTTGTCTTATTTCCTGCTTCACTTGGATTAATGGGCAAGGAAAAGACGCTTTTTTGTTAAGAAATAGACCTTCAGACTTTGCAAATCAGCATCTTCTGGTGGCAAATAAAAAAGTGTACTCTGTACAGACCTGTTTTCAGTAAATTAGCTTAAATCTAAAGGCTCCTCTACTTGGAGATATGTCTCCCACTGTGCATAGCCCTGTCCTCTCCTTTCTCTCTGAGCTGTATTAGCCGATCTTCTTAGGGTCCCATAAGATCCGTCATGATCTTGTCTTTCATGATAAGACCTTTGGGCAAGGCCCATCTCTTCATTCTTTTTATGCAGACTGCAGCACAATGCGGCTGGATCTCTGATTACCATTTGTGTGTGACAGGCTGCTACTTAGGTATTTACCACAGGCTAAAATGCCTTCTTTATCACTGATGCCCTGGCCCCTTTCACTTTCTGTCTTAAATAGCCTACAGTTTTAGTTAGCCAAGTGCAGGCTTGTCTCTCTTCCCTTTCCTCCTGCTCCCCTCCTCTGCTTTGTTTTGTTTTGAAGCCACAGTTGTGCTAACACTGGCACAAACCTGTGCCAATTCATTTTACAGGCTGAGGCACTGTCAGTGTCCCAAGTACCCTGAGTCTGCCCAGCTGGCTCGCTTGGGTGTTTTCTCTCTCTCCAGAGTATCTATTTTTGATCCTCTCTAAGCAGACAGAGCATTGGATAACTGGTTTTATTACCCCTGCTAGGTGCTCAATGCAGATCTTTTCCCTGCCCCCAGCAGCTTGCGTCCCCCCCAAGGAGCATAATCTCATTTGGGGCTCTGTAAGCTTGTCGTCATTGCTTGGTCATTCTGTCACACACTGTGATTTCAAGTGGGACAGTCCTAAGTGTCAGGAATAGATGACCGGGCAGTAAATCCTGCTGGTCTTTGCATGTTTTCCATTAGTTCCACCTAGTTGAGCCACTCCTGCTCCCAAAGGGCCCTGGGCACTGACCACCGCCTTCTTTCCAGCTCACCTCGGGGGAGGAGAGGAGAAGCAGAAGAGGAACCTGCTTTTGGGTCCCAGCAGAAGGGGAGCAGCAACAAGGCTGTTACAGCCCAAGTAGTGGGGCAGGTGCAAGGCCTTGGCTGGGCAGTGGGGTTGTCAGATGGAGGCCTGGGCATAAATGGGCTCTTCATTGGCACCAGTCAGGTTTCTATGTAAGCAGCTGGGACACGTGTGTGGCTGCAGTTAGGAGAGGTACTGACAGCTTGGAGGCAGCACCAGCCTCCTCCAGCACACTTGTATGTACTCCCTCACTGTCACCATGCTCCCAGCACTTTCTTATCCTCTGCCTGTCACCCTGAGCCTCCCACCATCTGCTGTCTTGCCCTGTCCCCAATCCCCAACCCTTCTACTCCCTGCTTCTCTTGCCAAGACCCGGCTCAGCCCTGCCATTGCCGCCTCTGCCTCTACAACCCTCCCATCACCTGTCTTACACTCTC